GGCCCCCGCTCGTTCGGGGGCTTCCTAGGGCTCTTGGGGCACCGGCCGCGGGGGCTGCTTCACTGCGGGGCGAGGGGCGTCCCGGGCCTGGCAGGTTGGGACCCGCCCCAGCCGCCCGGCCTCTTCTCCTCGGCTGCCCAGGGCGAGTCGGGCGCGGCGGGGAGCTCGGGCTGGGCGACTGGAGGGGCTTATGGAGTTTGGAGGAAGAATGGGCTGCGGCCAGGCCGGGGAGGCAGAAGGTGCGCTGTGGGGAGGGGGCGTGCGGAGACCGAGGGGCCGAGGGACCCCGCGCGGCGTGGGCGCGGGTGGCCCCTGAACTGACTCTGAGGCGGAGGTGACGGCCGTCTGGGAGTGTTGAAGGATTTAGGGAGGGTGACAGTGATGGACAAGTGCGTGAAGTGCAAAGTAGTTCGCCTTTCAAACCAAATCACTCTGGAGTGTAATGGCGAAGGGTGGGTAGTGGTGGAGACGGCAAAGATCGGGAATCTGTACCTTCTGCCTTGTATAGTGGTTTTGATGTGCGAAGTCGGTGAGTTCTCTTTTTGGGGAGAAGAGGGGTTTGAGAAACTGTAATTGAGAAACTCGTCTTAATGGAGAGGAAATTGAATTCTTCGAATAAACTGGGCGAGGTATAGTCGTGTATCAAAGGTGTGGGTGGGAACAAGTGATGTTCCTGAAACAGCGCTTGAAACATAAGTGTCCGTTTTCTTTGACTGATGTGTGCCCCAGGGCCGCTGCAACAGAGTTAACCTTGGTGAGGAGTGTGGTGTGCGCCGTTCTAATCTTCGGGGTTAGTATACTAACCTTCTAATCTTCGGGGCATCAGATTTGCTTCCCTAATCACATCCCAACTATATTGAAATTTACATTCCTTGTGTGCACCCTGGCGAGGTAACGATGGGAGGCGGAACATGGTGCAAAAAGCGACAGGCCTGGGATTTAAAAATACCAACAAATGGTCATTCATTCGTTCAACATTTTGATCAGTAGCTGCTGCTACTGGTCACATGTAATTGCTCCTTGGATAACTTAAGAGTTGATGGCATTATTTGATTTTTAATGGTTTTTCGAAAATGTTTTCATGTACCTTTTCATAAATATATTTATTGGGTGAACCAATTTGCCTGGGCTCGGGAGCAGACCAATTTTAGAATCTTATGTCTAAATGGGTAAAAATTACAGAAGAAATAACCACAAATTGTTGGAAAAAGAAATACTGTCCTTATTTTCTTATTTTGTTAATATCCAGTGGAAGTTTATTTATTTATTTTAATATTTATAGTACACAGTTGCTTTGCCTTGTTTTAAGCACACCTCTTACTGGAAATAAAGGGTAACAAGTATATGTAAATAATATGCATGTACATACATAAGGGTGTGATTACTCGCAATACTAAAATAAAACTCTTTTCCTTTACAAAAGGCGTGCCATATGTTGAACTACTCCTCCAGAGAAAATATAGTACAAAGAGTCCTGATTCTTCCTTTAATGAACATTGTGACCATTTTGGAATATAGTCAACCTTTTTGTGCTTCAGTTTCCTCATGTATGTATGATAGCAGGAAAACATACACTCTCCTAGGGTTGGCTGTTGTGAGCCTAAGTAAGTTAATAGTTATGAAATTATTTTAAATAAATTGAAAGGGTTATATATTTCTGTGAGGTAGTAACAGCTCCCTCTGTACTTGTGAAATGCTTTATTTGCACATCTCATGGCATTTATACTTTCTGCCTTGTATTTAGGTTTTTATGTACCTGTTTTATCTCCTCTTGATGGCAGGATAGGCCCTTCTCTGATTTTATCTTTAAGTTTAAGGCACTGTGTAGGATTTTCTTTTATTCCTTTATATATATTACTGATTTCAAAGAGAGGAAGGGAGAGGGATAGAGAGAGAGAAACATCAGTGATGAGAGAATCATCGATTGGCTGCCTCCTGCATGCCCCTGACTGGGGATGGAGCCTGCAACCCAGGCATATGCCCTGACTGGGAATCGAACTGTAACCTCCAGATTCATAGGTTGATGCTCAACCACTGAGCCACGCTGGGGCTAGGATTTTATTTTCTGTGTAGGATATTGACAGTGCAATATTTGTTAAATGAATAAATATTGCATTCTAGTTAGAAAAATGTATTCACATTACAACTTATCCAAATATACTTGGTACCTCTGGTATAACATGCCTATATAGCTGTGATCTCTCCATGACCTCTGAGGAATATTATATTTAACTGGATGTCATGTTGAATTTAATTATATAGTAAAACTTAAGTATTTGACCTACCCACATAATTTTTTTAAAAAGGCACGAAATTAACGTATGTTTCTTTGAATTTAAATGATTGAAAGTTTGTTCCAAGGCTAGGAAAACAGGTTTTTTTTAAAGCTTTTTTAAAAAAATTGGTGAAGGATGAGATTTTCTTGCCATTGTTATATGCAATTGAAAGTAAAGGGCTTTGAATAGGTCCAGGATTGATGTTAGGTCAGTGATTTTTCAACCTTTTTCATCATGGTACACATAAACTAATGACTAGAATTGTCTCGCACACCAAAAACATATTTTTTGGCAATTTCACACAAAAATAGGTATAATTTTGATTCATTCACATTGGACAGGTATTGTATTGGCTGTTGTCATTTGTTAATTTGACAGTCTAAGGGAATAGAAAGAGGTTACTGCCCCTGACTAAATAGGAATTGGATGTTTTAAAAATTCTTGTGGCACAGGGGTTGAATTTGTTACTTGTTTGTGTGTTTTTTTGTGTGGTCAGTTTTAACGTTACTTTGTGTTGTTGTAATTACAATTTCAAACCCTTATTTGATGCCTGGGAATGATAGAGGTTTCCCATACTTAGTTACTTCCATCTATTCTTTTTTTTAAAAAAGATTTTTTTAAAAATTGATTTTTAGAGAGGGAGACAGAGAAACATCCATGTGAGAGCAAAACATTGATTGTCTGCCTCCTGCACACCCCGTACCTGGGAATCAAACCCCCAACCTTTCTATGCACTGAGCCACACCAGCCAGGGCCCAGCTATTTTTTTACTTCAGATTTGTATTTTACTAGGGGTAGTAAATGTTGACCATAATTTATTGTGTGGACTTATTGATTAGAGATTCATATATAGTTCATTGCCTTGTGCAACAGGTGTTGAGTACCTTTTGTGTACAGAGCACATTACTAAGTGTTGAGTAGGTTAATATGTGCAAAAGTAACTCAGTCTTTAGATTGCCTGATATTTTATCCTTTTGCAGCTTGAGGATGCATAAAGTACGTTTAGATAGGTGGTTAAGAAAATATTGTGTTTCTTTTTCTATCAGGACTTACTAGGAATATTCAAAAGCTATGAAAAGCTTCTGCTATGTAGCAGTAACTATGTAGAGCATCTGTTTTTTATTTTGATATTCTTGTGGTAGTGGTTTCCTTGAACATTTTTACTACCAATTTTTCTACCCCAGGAGCTAGGAGCTAGTGTGGTCAAAAATTATATTATTTGGATAGTCTTCAAATACAACATAAAAGTGCTCTTTGCATTTGAGGATGAGACTATACAAAGCCATGCAAATGTTTCTGTGGAGTTCTTCAGTTTCATTCTTCTATGTGTGCTGTTAATACTTTTACTTAAAAATAATCTCAAAAACATTTAAATTGGTTAGAACAAAATGCTAATAATTTATTGAATGTAGA